GATCGATGGACACGGTGTAAGTGTACTTCGTGCTGAGACAATTAGAACAAATTTCTATATTTTCAGGTTTACAAATTCCAGAAGGTGTAAAACCGTGCGTTAAAGAAAACAAACATTGCCACACTTTCGTCGATTGCTGCCCTGGATTGGTTAGTTTAGTCATCTTTATCTTATCCGAGCCGCTTATGCTATGTCTACGCACGCGGGGGAAAAGGGGAAGGGATTTTTTTATTTTTCTCTCGTTTTTACTGCACAAAAATACTCTCTCAATCCCCCGGCCAATCCCCCGCCGGATTCGCTTTGTGTAATTGTGAAAAATCAAATCGATTTGATTTTCTAGAACAAAGGAGTTTGTTTTGGAATAACAAAAATGAAATTGTCTTCTCTGCACAGAGCATTTTCGCACAGACATCATTTTTGGTTGTGTATGTCATTGTGTATGTCGACAAAGACATGTTTTATGTCTGCTTTACAACGCTTTCTCTTCGGGGGATTGGATGAGAGAGTACAGCGCTGTGATTAATCTATAAGAAAAATACAAAATCCCCCGGGGGAATCCCCACGTGCGTGAAAGTAAAGATTCAAGTAAAACTATCGATAGTTTTGCAAAACTATCGATAGTTTTCTGAAACTAATATTAGTTTTAAAGCCTAACATTAGACATTCGAAAGACGGTTTTGACATCACTGGGTAAACTACAACAATATATACAGTTTGATCAATTTAAAATGGAATCAATAAAATCAAAAAATTATTTTCCGTCAATTTTTGGACACCACAGGGATCCAAAAAATTCACAAAAATAAAATTTTCGGATAAATTCTGGAAAAATCACTGTCCTACCCCAAAAATTGTGAGGAATCCGGGTCAGGGTTCATCACTTTACCAGTATAACATGCCAAAAAGCACCATTTATGGACATGCACCAAAACTCGAGTTTTTCAGGATTTTGGGAATCTGACCTCTCGCCTTCGGCGACGCCGTTTTCCACTTTTTTCTGGGCCGATCGGGCTGATCTTTTTTAAACAAAATGGCAACACCTTTGCTACAAAATGAGTAGAGATAAGTATAAACACAAGAGTATAAACACTTATATCTAAAGAGCGAATTCAAAAAAAACATTTCGAAAAGAAATCCCCCATTTTAAATTGATCACATATATTTCATACATTTTATTTTCAGGACTGTGACCTTCGGAATGGTACTCATCGGTGTAGGTGTTCTTTATTTTTGTCCTTATTTACTTTGACCCGAGGCAATTAGAACAAATGTACTCTATTTTTCAGGCCACAAGAACGTTCCAGTCGCCTGAAGACAGTCCAATTCCAATGAATTCAAGATCGTTTTTAATTTACAAATCTGATTTCTAATCGTCGTCTTTGTCAGGTTTTTTACATGCAGTGCACAAAATTTAACGGTTTAAGCCTTTCAGTTTTCTCAGAAACACTGCATGCTTTTTCCTGTGAGAGAAGAAAATAATTCTAGTTGTATTGTAAATTTTATACATTTTTAATAAATTACTATGAAAATAATACAAAACATAATAGCTGGGACACTTGAAAAATTACATTACAATTTTTTACTTACAATTTTTAAGAATTTCTAGAAAAAAATGAGAATTTTGGCTGATTTTAAACTTTTTGGAACCATTTTTCTAAAGATTAATTTGGGCATACTTTTTAAGGTACGACTTGTGTGGTCCTTTGGTGTCTGGCGCAGTGCAAACAAACTTAGCAAATTTAAGCTTTTTCTCAACTTTTTACAAACTGAGAGGTCTTTTTGATTACGACGAGTGTATGGCCGAATTACGTGAGGATTCTAAATATACCATTCATTTTTCAAAAAAAATTATTATTCAGGAGAAAAAGACAATATTGTTATAATTGTCATCATTAGAACTCTACTACTAATTAATTTCTGGCACACTTATATTGACAAGAGAGGATCAAGATCACGAAAAAGTGAGCCTGAACCTCGACCTTCGGATCATGATCCGAAGGTCGAGGTTCAGGATCAAGATCATGTCAGAGTACCGGCCCGGAGGCCTAATATACCATTCATTTTTCATGAATTATCCAGGAGAAAAAGACAAGATTGCAGATGGCGAAAAAACGAATCCGCAATCTTCTGATTGATGGTACTCTTATGTAATATGTGCATTTAGAATTCTCGCGTATACTGCATGGCAAATCATTATCCTCAACACAATGACCAAACAGTTATAACTAGGCATCGGCGAATCCGAGTCCGAGTCTCCTTTCACTGAAAAGAATATTCCAGCGTCCTGCCTTTATCAAATGGATTGTTTTTATCAATGGATTGTTTTTCATTAAATTTTAATGAATAACAATCTATTGTATTCGTAGGGTAGAGACGTAGATACACGTTTTCCCAGCTTTCAACGAAGCGATGCTTGATAAAGGCAGGACGCTGGAATATTCTTTTTTCGGCATTATATTTTTACAAAGAAAGAGAGATAGAAATAGTATGTGATAACCCAAAAACAATGCTTTAAGTATAGGCTTTGTGCAGACAGTGAAAGGAGACTCGGACTCGGATTCGCCGATGCCTAGTTATAACGAATTCTGAATATTTAAAAGAAAATTGAAATTTTTCGTCACGTGACTTTGCGTGAATCTGTTTGAAACGCACACACTCCGATAAAAGACTGTCCAGGTGGATCAACATAATTTGTTGCGAAATTCAACTCCGAACGTAAAAGTGCATCCGACTCAAAGTAGAAACAAAATATTCTCTCTGCGAAAGTCTAGACCAAATCCAGGTGGATCAACATAATTTGTTATCCGAATTCGATTCCACGAACGAATTTTTCTTCTTTATACGTTTTCATTAGTTCGAGAATCGGAGTGCACACTGTTCATGTGAGCAACGACAAAATCGACTTTTAGAAATTTGTATACCTCCAGGGCGATTACGAGTATCTGCCATTTTTCAAAGGCGAACAGCCGTGGCCCCCCCCCCAAAAAAAAAAAAAAATACACAAAATTTTAACCTGACCCAAATTTTGTCAATAAAAGAAATCTTTGAGGACCAATCCTGAAAAAACGGAAAAAAGGCCTGATTTTCTGATTTAAAATTTTCCCAAATTTTCTTTTCTTTTAATTGTACCCAAACATAAAGATTCCCCCTTAAATACTTGAATGTGGCTTTATATGCTTAAGCTTTACCTTTTTTAAATTAATACCAAACTAAAAGTCAATTTCCATTTTTCTAAGACAAACAAATTTTTAAATGTTCTGACAACGTTTATTTTTAAAAATCGTTCCATAATTTCATAATCAGTAGCTTTCGGTCCAGTTCCCGTTTTTGCATCAACGATCGAGAAATTGTTAGGTCCCTTTGTTACAATTTTTGATTCAAGTCGGTAATACCATCTTGTATCTATAATAAAACATTTATTGAACATTGCATGCCGTCTTTTCTTTCAACGTGGCATATTTTCACATTTGGGCGTATTAACGTAAAAACGTACAAAAAAGTTACACCTAACGATAATTATTATAATATAGTATGTGGTGAAATTTTTATTGTCAGAATACGATATTATGAAAAGAATGTATAGGAGGGTGTTATTGCCAGTAGACTAAAACGAGATACTAAAATTTAACAATAAAAAAAGAGTGAACCATAATTCTATGCGTCATAGCCTTGTCCCTAAGTTAACAAGATATAACCTCCAAAAATGTTCTGTTTGTGGTATACAAATTTTGCGTACTTTCTTTCATTCTGGAAACCAAACAAAATGAAACTTACCCCAAGGGATACAAGTGAAACGCGCCTTCTCGCAATACCGTTTCCTCCTTGGTTTGTTTCCAATTCAGCCTCCATATTGCTTTCCGCGGTAACCTCGTTGTTCTGTAAATTCCGAAATGTAAAGTTAAAAACGTGATTTATCATTGTTATTATTATCATTATTGTTACAGTTATTTTCCGTTTACTTCCAAATTTTGGCATGCACGCATGTGCATTAATATTAGTATTATTAATAATATTATAATAATAAAATAAATACTAACTCTAATCCTCTCCTTTCGGTTATTCTTCTTAAAAGTCTATACAGCCGATAGTATGTTAAGCGTTTGTATATTAGAATGCGCTTCGCGCATTAAGCTGCTTCTAGACGCCCATGAACGCCGGTGGCTTTGTCAGCGGAACCTCGCGGCCTTCGGCCGCTCGAATATTTGACACCTAGATCGCCCCGGACACAGCTGCGCACGTGAAGTTATGTTTGTTCGGGCTTGCACGTCTAAAAGAAGGCCATAGAAGCTTCTAGAGCTTTCTGGAAGGTTCCATGGAAAATTTTGACCCCGGATTCGGATTCAGCGGGGTCGATTTGCTATAGAGGGACAAAATTTGGAGCCTTTTTCATGTTTCCCCAGCGAGATACAGCCAAATGCCCTCAGGGCTTCTAGAACCTTCTAGAAGCATTTGCGGTCGACCGGACCTGGTTTTTCCGGACCCCCAGGCCCAGGGCTATCCAACGACACTAAGATCGCCCGGAACAGGCGGAGGACAGGGAGATACGGCCTAATGCCCTAAGGACATCTAAAAGCTTCTAGAACCTTCTGAAAGCGGTAGACTAAAGATTTTGCAGATTCGGACTCAGCGGGGTCAATTTAGGGGGTCCCCCAAGCTACTTTAGACTTAGGAAGTGTAAAAACAGAGTGGTCCAAAATGCCCCGGGGAATCGATGGGGAACATAAAAACAACCACTTTGTTTAATCAAAACCCTTAAAAACACGTTTTTCGTTTTTGGCGCGAATTCAAATTTCAAATCTGACAGTTTTCCTCTTTTCTCTACCTATCGAATCGTCCCGATCTAACAAAGCAAAACACTTCTCGCTCTGACTAATACTTAGTCTTGGTTTCCCTTCCCAACTTCAGTTAGTCATGAGCTATCACTCGTCCCGATCTAACAAAGCAAAACACTTCTCGCTCTGACTAATACTTAGTCTTGGTTTCCCTTCCCAACTTCAGTTCCAACCATAGCTCAGTTAGTAGAGCGGTGGACTGTAGAGTACGACGAAGCCATCCATAGGTCGTGTGTGCAACTCACACTGGTTGGAGTTATTTTTTATTTTGTTTTTGCTTTTAAAATATCTTTTTTATCACTTATTTTTATAGCATGAAAAAAATTTAGATTGCCAAAAACAAAATTTGGAAAAAAAATTGTAAAGATCCAATTTTTCGTATCAGGCACCGTTTGAATGCACACAAGATGGGGTAAATTCCTATCCATCACGTTTCACCAGGTGAGTGTTCCGTGTGGGAAATAATCCCGGACAATCGCCGAAAATTATTTTTTATACACATATAAAAAAGTTTATGTACCGATATTTCTCTTATCTCAAATGAAAGCTGCGCGAGCCCACAATTCCCATAGAAGGTCTCATCCCATAAAAGGATGACTCGTTCCAAACCCAACCAACGGACATTGGAGATAAATTAATTTGACAGACCAATAAATTCGTCGCCGTTCCACCGATGTCACCACAAGGAGGCGCCTTTTAAACATAACGGAACGCTTATGCTTTGTTCCAGCGAAAGTTGCGTTTAGCTTATTTGTCGCAGATTTTATCTTAAAGGCTTAGCTAAGCCATTTATTTCCCAAAAATGAGAAAAAGTCCAAAGGAATGTGTGGTCCAAATAAAAGTTTCCAAGGATGGATTCGTCATCGGATATGTCGCGATTGCGATGTCGTGTGTGGTCGTGACGGCGTCTTTGGCGTATTTGCCGGCAATGTTGCAGAAAATTGGAACTATTCAGTCGGAATTGGCAGGTGGCATGGAGGAGTTTGATGCCTTGCAGGTAACACTGTGGTCATTAGCAAAACAGATCCTTTCAAGGATCACCATCCTTTCAACAGGTAGAATAAGGATTTACCCTAGGATACCCTAGGCTCCTTTCAACCATCCTTTTAAAAGCATTTCAATTTTTGGTCTGTTCAAGGCCGATAACATTTCTGAAATGTGGAGGGGACACTTCGCCAATTTGGCAAAGTGTCATATTCCCTTGAAATCATTTTTCGACAAAGGGGTCGGGTTGATTTTGTCTAAAATCCCGCTATTTTCTACGAAAAATAGCATCTGTTTGAAAATTTGAGCGAAAATTTTTATTCTGCGAAAGGCCAAAACCAACCAGGTCGCAAAAATTTTGTCAGAAAATTACATAATTATGTGTGGTCCCGAATAAAATCTTTCTAGGCTCGACTCTGGTCGGACATGCTGGTGGAAAAACGACTTCTCAGTAAACAAGAGACACCTGCTCGGAAGATCAAACGACAAGTCAAATCCACATGTGGTTGGTTATTTTTTAGGGAAAATTGGGCACTAAGCCATTTTTTATTTTTAATGTGATCTTTGATCTCTTAACCTTAAGTGACCGTACCTTTTATTCATTTCTGGACACCGGACCAGCTTTTTGGCCCTTTTTGGCATAAATTCGGTCCTTTTCGGCCAAAATTCTATTATGACTCATCGCAAAAATAAGTATCGACCAAAAATAAGTTACATTCCAGACTGCATTAACAACAATCAGTGCCCACCTGGACCTCCAGGTCCACCAGGTAAAGACGGTATGAACGGGTGAGACAACTTTTTTTAGGGCGTAAAGGAATGTTTTCAAAAATAGTGCACATTCCAGAGAAAATGGGAAGCCAGGAGAGCCAGGCACATCCGGGGTAGCAGGTCCAGCTCAAGAGCAGAAAAAGGTGGATAAAGAGTGTAAGTGTTTAGTTTCTTGACAAGCAGTTGTTGTTAGACGCTTGTTAGGCAGGTGCAGTAGTGGTTTTTAAGGTGGTTTGAATCAATGTGATGAAACCTCTCCATAGTAAACCGACCCCGCTGAACCCAAATCCGGGATCAGATTTGATCTTTGATCTTCATTTTTAAACTTTTTCCTTTAAAATTGGGATTTTTCCATATTTTAAAGGAAAAAGTTCAAAGATCAAAGATCAAATCTGATCCCGGATTTGGGTTCAGCGGGTCGATTTACTCTCTAAGGGTTTCATCACATTGATTCAAACCACCTTAAAAAGCCTCTTGGCCTCCATGCCAAGGTGCGCTTCTCCTCTACTGCGCCTACTCTAACAACCCGCGAATTCAAACGCCTATACTCATTCGATACGTATTATAGTGGTTTCCTTCGTAGACTAATTTGGTTCAAATCATTTTCTGATTCAATTCAGGTCGTGTATGCCCTCCGGGCCCTGTCGGACATCCCGGTTATCCTGGACCACCTGGGCCTGCTGGCCCACAGGTATGTGATTTTATAAGTACAACTAATTATTATTAGAGATTGGGCGACTATTAGAGGATGTATTGTATCACCTTTAGGGTGAACCAGGTCCGAAAGGCACTCCTGGAAGACCAGGACATATAGGGGCCATTGGAGGAGCAGGTGAAAGGTATGTCCATAAATTTGGTGTCATATCCAAGGATTATGATAGCAACAGTGTTATTTTAGAGGTCAAGCAGGTCATCCAGGAAAAGATGGCCCGCCCGGAACTAAAGGCCAGGATGGAGTCCGCTATGGTCCTGCTCCAAGAGGTCCACCTGGGCCAAATGGACCTCCAGGAACAAAAGGATATCCAGGTTTGTCGACCTAGGGCTAGCAAATTTTTGACATGAATCAGCTTTCAGGAAACCCAGGAGCGCCAGGAATGATCGGAATGCAAGGTCCGGTCGGCGAGCCAGGAGAGCCCGGAAAAGAAGGTATGAAATATTCCGGGAAAAATTTTGTGAATTTTTAGAAAAACTAAAAATTTTGAAAGCTTTGCGCGAAAATTTTTGAGATTTTTGGCCATTTTTGGAAAATTTTTAAATTTTAAACCAATTTTGAGTTCCCGCCACAAACTTTTTGGAAAAATTAGAATTTTTCGGATTTTTTGATTTTTTTGGCAATTTTTGTCATTTGTTGGACGTTTTTTCAAAATTTGGCAAAATTTGTACAAAACAAAATAATTACAGGTAATACGGTATAACAAACATTTTTCAGGACCGCCCGGATATCCAGGTGCTCCAGGTAGTTTTGGAGCAAATGGTGCCCCCGGTCAAGACGCTTCTTATTGCAAGTGTCCTGAAAGGCAGCGCTATGGACAAATCTCACCTGAGAATGGCAAAGGTAAAACCCAGCCGACGGATAATAAGTCCTACGACACTTCGTCGGTGACAAACAAAGGCGAGAGTCAGCCGGCGAATGCCAAAGGCTACGACGTCCAAGAAAAAGCGCCAGAGGAAAAAGAAACTCCGAGCGGCGGATTACCTGAGTATAATCCACCCGCGCAGGCCGCTGGATCGCCTACGGCGGAAGTCCAGGAAGAGATTGTGGAGCCTGGAAGTGTGACTCAGCATCCGGAGAATACTTATAAAATGAGGAAATAATTTTGGAGTGGGCATTTTGAAAGTTTACTAATGCGTGGATTGGTTTGTGGATAATAAAAAATGATACAAATTTTAAGTTTGTAAGTGAAATGTTTACGCATTTTCGACTGGCTGGCGTACAAAAAGTGGCCCAACTTTTTAGATAAAAATAATAACTCGTTGATTTTTGTGTGTATTCTATTTTTATTATTTTTATGTGTATTCTACTCATCGAGAAGTGTTTTGCTTTGTTAGATCGGGACGAGTGATAGTAGGTCTAATACTTAGGCAAATGTATACTTTTCTCTACAAGGGTTTCTATCAGGAAAGGTAAAGATCCTAAATTCTCAATTCGATACAATCCCGAATACAATAATGAAATCAGATTCTTTTATCCTACTACATAGTAACATTATTTTTATCCATAATAATATTTCATAACAATTGACAAATTTAGCAGGAATTCAAAACTAATTTATTATAGAGGTATTTTCAACTGAAAAGTTTAAATTCCCGCCAAAAATGATAAATTAATGAGGTTGAAAAAATTTTGCGACAAAATTTGATATTTTGAGTATTTAACTGAGAGTTAGTATTTATCTCCTTCCCAATAGCTATCCAACATGAGCGTCGGTGGTTCAGTGATAGAATTCTCGCCTGCCACGCGGGAGACCCGGGTTTGATTCCCGGCCGACGCATTCCTTTTTTTTCGTAAAATTCATTTTGTCGTTCTTTTTAGCCTAATTTGTAATGTAACAAAAATACGCATTTTCAGTTTTTTTAAGATATTTTGTTCTATGAAATTGTTCTGAGCTATTATGGACCACATTAAAATTTCAATTAATAATTGACTAGCGGTCTTTTTGTTGCATAACTTGGTGTGATATTGAGCATGAATAAAGGAATCATCATCAGGAATCATCATGTCTTCCGACAAATGACGGATCTCTTCTTTTTTCCACTAAAATGGGTCACTTGGCAACAATTTTTTAATCTGACATTATTTTTTAATCTGACAGGCTATCATTAGTTCAATCAAATTCCCTGCAGCTAAAAATTATTTTTGCACCAAAAATAGTTCTGGTGGTAGGTCTGTCAAGTACAAATAGTTTTTAGTTGCAACAAATCCGACCACTTACTTTTTACACTTTTTATTTGGTTAGACGCCAGAGTTATCGACTCTCGAAGTTCCCTGAGGTCATTTGGCTGTATCTCGCATGGGAAGCAAGGAAATGGCCCAAAATTTTGTCCCTCTATGGTAAATCGACCCCGCTGAGTCCGAATACGTGGTCAGAAGTTTTCATCGAACATTCCAGAAAGTTCTAGAAGATATAGGCCAGTATCCGCGGCGTTCTTAAACTACTTTATACACGTAATATTTAATTTTAAGTAAAAATTTTCACACATTTTAAGCCAGAAAACTAATAAATTATCGACTAGAATATTTCTCTGCTCTCTCATTTCTTGCGATATCTTTTCAGGATTGTCTGTCTGACGGATACCACCTCCAATATTTCTTTCGATAGCAGTTCGATGGCTTTTGTTAGCTGGAGATGGAAAGAGACGGGAGTGGAGTCGGATTGAAAGCACTGAATTAAAGAACAGTTTAATTTTATTTATACCATTTGGCGTTACTTAAAGTACATTTGTACTCAAAAAAAGTTATATTCCTTTCAAGTAAGTGTCTTGTGTAATTCATATCTCAA